ATTGCCTTCATCTCTGCCCGATTCCTTCTGCCTGAATCCCATCTGTGCCACTAAGGCCTGCCCCTACAGCGTGTGCTGGCAAGGATGTCACTTACTGAAGAGGAGGTTCCCCTCTACAATGTGTTACATTCAGAGACATGCATGGTAGCTTCCAAAGCAAAGTTACAAAGTCCATAAAATATATGCTATCCAGCTCTGGAAGGAATTTGTTAGGGCACAACCAGTTTTTCTTTTATGATCTTCCCAGGAAAGCTCCACTCTCTCATAGACATAAACACTTGTGAACAGTGAATTTCAAGACTGCAAGAACAGTGGTTAATAGGAAATAAACTTCAAATTCACAGACACAGTTACCTGGATGAGAGCAAATTCCACCCAACACCTTTCAGACGTTCATAAAACACAAACAGTACCTCTGTCAGACTCGCCTGGGAAACATCAGCACAGGGGAGCCAGAAAACTTTTCCATCTCTGCTCTATTCCTGCTAGTGGACCTCACTTACAAAGTGCCCAACTCCCCAGCAATTCTTCACACTGAATCTCTGCTGAAGGAATAAGAGCTGGGTGGAGAACTGATAGAAATGTCTATTAAAATGTAAACAGAACAAAAACTGTATTGTTTGAGCCCAACAATTATAACCTTGTACATCAAAATCTCTAATTTCTTTAAGGCCTCTTGCAAGCACAAAGGATGGCAGGATTACATTTGGGTCATAGGGACAATCAAGAAATAGCACAGTGATTATCCATCCCTGGAGAAAGTAAAATCTTTGTTATGCAGAACTATACCTTGAGGGAAAGAGGAAAGAAAAAAAAACAAACAGCAACCAAATAAACGCATCGTCCCAATCTAGCTAACAAAGGATCACGCTCAAATTCTCAGTCTTGCTGCTATGCCACTCAGAGCATGGAGACTTTTTATCGTCTTAAAATACAAACTAACTACTTGCAAGATGCCCTGTACCTGAGCTGCCCTGTTCAGAAGGCACAGAGAGCTGTACTCCACCCTTCTGCTCACAGCACTTCCTGAGCATTCTGTCTTCCAAATCTAGAAACTCCCCAAAACTCATTACTCCAGTATTGCAAGTTAAATGTTATTCCAAGCTAAAAAACAGCTCCTCGAGATTAGTCATCTGCAGGGGGAAACCGTGACTGTGAATCTCTTTCAGTCCCCAGGAGATCCATTTAAGAAAGTTGCTATCATTGCTACAAGATTGCTATGACAATTTCTATTGTCACCCACCCCATTGAGCACCCGCACACTCTCCCCATAGACCAGGAATTCCACTGGCACACACACAGGGTATTTGCAGAGAACCCAGGGAACACAGGCTGATCTGAAGCCCTCTGATTTTCTAATCAGTGAATGCTGTATTGCAAAGACACAGAGGGCAAGCCACCATGCATATTAAAGTAAATTAATCACTGCTGTCAACAACTTCCATTTCTCTACAAAATTTTACAGCTGAAAATGCAAACTGCTTCATCCGTTGTAAATGGGAATGAGTGCAATATTAATGAGAGGAGTGCTAGCTTGCTTCCAGTTTCTCTCACCCCCAGAAATCCCAAGCACATGCCTGGACTCCATTACAAACACCCCTGCCAGTACCATAGTAGCTGCTGAACAGACAATATGCAATGTACAGACAGATTGGCATCTGTGCTGGACACGTTTATGTTCTCCACTTCCCCCAGCAGCATGGAGGTACATACCAGCAAGCAGCTTCGCTCGGTTAATTTTCAGTAGCTGCCAGTTCCCAGAGGAAACACACATCAGGAGCACAGAGAAATGTTCACACAGTCTGGAAAAGAGCTCTCTTCTTCCGCCTGTACAGCCCTGGTGTTCCCATTCAAAGGCATCTGGGTCACAGGAGTAAATGTGGAAAAGCAGAGGCCTCCCTGCCCTTCATCATCCTGCTGGGAAAAGGGGGGATATTCTGTGCAGTGTTTCTATTTTAAACAAAGATCTCGCAAACAGACCTTTCTGGAGCTATCAGAAAAATAACCCAGATGCTATGTTGCAGCTTTCTGTGCAACCTTTGTTTGAGAACAGAGGTTGTGGTAACTTGTGAGCAACAGATCATGAGCAAATATTAAAGATCATCCAGCAACTTTCTGGCAGAGCTCTAAGTTCAGAGACACCCCAATCCAAGCACCCAAGCCAGAAACTCAGCTGTTAGCTTACAAATACTGATGAGGGACTGGCAAACCCAAGTTAGGCAAATGCACTGCTTGGGACCCACTGAGACAAACAACTAGAGGACAGACCTCCTAACTTGCAAAGGAGGTGCTCAATCAAGCAGCCCTGCTACTAGTTTCACAGACGAGGTCCTAGTAACTCCTAGGGTTACATTAGGCTTCATACCCTAGACTGGCAGGGGAACATGCTGCCATACACACACTCAACCTGAGAGGTCCTTTGCCAGCCCCAGCACCAGTGAACACACCAAGAAGCATGTGTGCAGTCTACTGGTACATGCTGGGCAGAACACATGCAGTTCTCGTTGCTTCCCATCATCCTTCAAACTAAGGGATCTATCTTTCAGAGCTGGTATCGTAACAACAGGTAGGAATGGGCTTAAGTGTTGCTTTTAAAACAGCTAAGTCACTGCTTCACAGACCCAGTTCTGGACCTATCCTTCATCTTGTTACTCCAGGAACCAGAAGAGAACAAGTGGAACATGGAGAGACCTGCACCTGCATTGGTACCACCACTGAACTTCAGGAAAGGATTTTACAGAGGAAGCTTTGGGTTCACATCTCATTAAAGGCTGAGCTGCAGTATGTGTTTCACAAAGGCAACGAGCCTTAATTTTTACCTATAAGCAAGAGGCTCAAATATATTTTTTTCCAAGGTTTTTACTCACAAGTGATTAGAGCATCTGATAACAATGATGCCTGCTGGCTAGACACCTAAGAGCATTTTATCCTGAAAGCCCATCATTTCATCTTCTAGATTCTTAATCAACACAATTACAATTAAAAGAACACTCAAAGTAGCCACTTACACCTCACACTTCCTAGGCAAGTTCCCAGTCAAGCAGCACACCCTTCAAATACACCTGAAGCCACCAGGAATTTCAGTCATCTCTACATAATCTCCATGAAAATGTTCCCTAAATACGAAGATCTCAAGCAGTTGGGCCCCCTTACACTCAGAAACAAAACCTGTCCTCAGCAAAGCATTTGTAGGGAGAGCTATAATATGTAGGTCAGCAATCTAAGAAGGGCTATGGTTAAGACACAGTATCAGATTGATTCATAATGCTCTTTGATTGCTAATCCTGTGCAGAATTGTGCTTTACATCTCCCTAGCAAAATCCATGGGCTATGGAAAAGGTCCGTGCCTTTCATAAGAGATCATCAAAACAATTCTGTCAGATTTGTTATCGTGTTCTTTATGGATGCTGAGTTGAGAACAAGAAAATGACATTTTCACCGAGGGCTGTGCACACCACTGAGACTCCTGTGGAAAGGGAGCAGGACCATGACCCCCTGCATCACTGCTGCCCTTTCAAAAGCTGCCTATGCAACAGATCGAGCGCACGAGGAGAACAGGAGCTGGAAGAGCTTATGTCTGAACATCTCCTCCACACCAGCCAACCTGAGAGCAAAGAGCAGGACAACCTGACATGGATCTCGGACAGCACCTGTTATCATCCTCCGCTTCTTCCAGCCTGGAGCAACACAGAAGCAGGGAGAAACATCCACTTCCCAAGAACCTGGGGTTAAGATGCCCATGGAGATGGTGTCATGTCCGCACTACCTTTGGCAGAGGACTGCCCCTCAGTGAGCTGGCAATCCTCTGGCAGAGGCAGGCAGGAAAATAAGCCTCTGAGTATACAGTAATCTGCTTCTGCAGCCAAGTTGCTTTTGCACCAGTCTCAAGGACAGAATTAAAGGTGTGAAACATTCTTGGCTTCATCTGCTTTGCCACTCATTAGGCCATCCCTGGCTACCTCATACTACTACCTCTAATTCCCCCCATGCATTTCCAGCTCCTGCAGCAGAAGACTGCCAGCAATTGCTTCAAATTATGATTATACTTGTCTATTTTGTCCCAGAAAACAAGGTCTCACTGAAAGATGATGCACCTCCACTTCCAGAGTTTGGGTTTAACCCAGTTACAGCGTATCTGCAAGCAAACAGCAGCCACCAGAGCAATCACAAAGCTTACCAAAGCCTCCTCAACAAATATTTGTTTGTCCAGGAATTAGATAGTCATGATCATGTGTTCCTCCTGTTTTCTGGAATCTAACTTCATGTCTGCTGTCAGGAAGAGATGCATACACCCCCAGCACCACTGATAATGCACCAGCTCGCTGCATGAGGTGTCTACCCTCTGATTGCAGGACAGCCACTGCTTTTGCCAGAGGCACGCCTTTAGGCAGAGGACCCCACGATATACACCCATAAAGCTGCTACTAATGCATTATGAACACAGCCTGAAAGAGAGCTCCTTCCACAGTATTTTGCATACCTAAGGGAAGCGACCATAAAATGAAGGAAAGCAAGCCAGTGGATAGGTTTATCTAGAGCTGCAGCCCCACATGGCTGTCCTGTTCCCAACACCATGGAGCTGCACTATCACCTCCAGCAGCAAACTGATGTATCAGCTAACCCAGAAGAGAATGTTCCTAGACTCAGCACCTGCATTACCTCCAAAGCAGCAGTGTATGCAGCAACGAGGAGATCGGCTGCCCAGAAGAGAGGAGCCCTAGAGAGGGGCTGCCTGCCCCTGGAGGTCCACATGGCTGCTGCCCCCCAAACCCTCACCCTCCAACATCAAGAGCTGCAGCTCATAGGAAAAGGTTGCCTCATTAGACACTCTTGGCCTCTGTCCCAGGGGCCTTCTGGGGAAGTTTTTTTCCCAGGAATATTCTTCCTCACAGGGAATATTCAGCATCACTCATGTCTATAAGAACTCCTCAGTTACTCAAAGGTCCACTTAAACCTCCCATGACACAATGACCCAGGCAAAGGCAATGGTTAGGAAGTTGTCCAGGACCCCAGCAGATAAGGACAACAATCCAAGATGCAAGACAAAGGCCAATAGCCAGGCTTTTTAGCAAAAGCTGAGGGCAGAAAGCTGCCCCCTTCCCCCTTGGTACCCCACATCAGGTAAGTCTGCCCCATGCTGCTGGGGTCTCCTTCCACTGCCTCTCTGTGCTCCCACGCAGAATCATAGAACAGTTAGGGTTAGAAGGGATATTTAAGGTTAGCCCAGCTCAGAAGAATTATTCCACGAACCTTCATGTAAGGATTGCTACAATATCCAGCTAGGTTAGCTACCAACCCTTTAAGCAGTCTGGTGAGCGTGCCACTAAGGAAAGAGTCACACATAGCAATTCATTCCTCACACATTAATAGGCAGCTCTGGTTTCTCACTCCCTCACAGCCAAGAAAATCTCCTGCTACATCCAGCTGCCTGCGATGGCACCTTTTCCCCTCTTGGATATTTTTGTTTTGACACTGTCAGTGATTAGATCCAGTTGCAGCAAGCAGTTACGAACAGCATGGAGCAGCAGCAGTTTCCATTCCCTTACCTTCCCGATTTGCAAGGGAGGGGGGCTTGTAAATACAGTAATGAAGATCTGCCCCGAAAGGAAACACTGCTTACAGCACCACAGAAAACATCTTCAATGGCATTTTTTCGCCTCTGCAGCCGGACCTACGGTGAGCTAACTGAAAACGGATCCAGCTACTTCTAAAATTACTTACAGCTCGTGTCCCCCACTACAACTCGTAGCACCGTGCGGACCTAAGGATGGCTTAAATTCAGATGAGAATAAGCACAAACGCGAGGAGAGGGAGGGGCTGGAAGCTCAGGGTACGTTTTTCGTTGGCATTATCTGCCTCATCCCCCTCTCCCCAGCCAGCATCGACTCGGTTTTCCGCTGGCGAAGCCCCGCCGAGCGGCACCGTCACCAGGACCGGGTACCCGGACCCGCCGCCTCCCACCCCTGCCCGGGGAACGGAGCCAACAGAGGCTGGCGGGGTGGGGGGGGTGTGTGTAGACGACGAACAGCATGGGCAGCCACGGCCATAACAACTACCGCTTACAACTTTGTATTTATGGGGTTATAACGATAACTAATAATAACAATAATGATAATAATAACAACAACAATAGTAGGAATTAATGAAAGTTACGCTTGTCAGTCAAAGCAGCGCTCTCTCCAGACCGGCTGCCAGGTCTACCCCGCCCCGGAGCCGCCCCCCCAACCCAGCCACGCTGAAATCCCCGGGAGCCACGGGGCTGCCCTGAGCGCGGCGCTTCCCCTCCCGCAGCACCTGCGACCCCAGCCCCAGCCCCGGCCCCATCAGTCACTCACTCGCCGCGGCCCCATCAGTCACTCACTCACCGCGGCCCCGTCGGTCTCCTACCGCCGCCCGCCTTTGTTGCCGCCGCGCCCGAGGCATTTAAGCGCCGTTCCCCCGCGCGGCGCTGCGCTGAAGCACTGCCGACGGCTGGCGGGGGCCGGGCCGGGGCAGCGGCGCTGGGGGAGGTGCCGCCGGCTGCCTGCGGCGGGTATGGGGCGGACCCCGCGCTGCGGCCCAACGACGGGCACCGGGAGGGGTGAGGTGGGAAACGGTACCGGTAAAGGACGAGTCATCCAGAGCGGGGCAGCGGCGCCGCGGCATCCTCATCCCCATTCATCCTCCTTCTCTGCCTTGTCCTGCCCCTACAGGCCCTTGTTCAAAGCCCCTCTCCAGGTTTCCTGTAGCCCCTTTAGGCACTGGAGCTGCTCTGAGGTCTCCCCTTAAGGAGCCTTCTCTTCTGCTCTTCTCCAGAGCAGAGCTGCTCCAGCCCTTGCAGCATCTCCGTGGCCTCTGGACTTGCTCCAACAGCGCTATGTCCCTCTTGTGTTGGTGCCCCAGAGCTGGATCAGGACTGCAGGAGGGGTCTTACCAGGGCACAGTACAGTGGAAGAATCCCCTCCCTTGACCTGCTGCTCACACTCTGGGGTTGCAGCAGAGCACACGGGTGGTTTCTGAACTCAAGCACACACTGAAGCTGGGTCATGGGGAGCTTCTTTGTCACCCAACACCCCCAAGTCCTTCTTGTCAGGGCTGCTCTCAATCCAGTCTCCCCCAGCCTGTGTTTGTGTTTGGGATTGCTCCAGCTCATGTGCAAGACCTTGCACTTGGCCTTGTTGAACTCCATGAAGTTCGCATGGTCCCACCTCTCCAGCTTGTCAAGGTCCCTCTGAAGGGGACAAGCTACAGTCCCTCTATACTAGACTTCCCCCAAGCAAAGCTGCCCTCTGTCTCAATTACTGCGAGGTGCAGGCAGCTTACCCCAGCACATTATTACACTGCCAGTCCCAGCAGAACTCACCGGGCCAGGGCTCCCATGTGTGCCTGAAGGGTGCTCGCTGCACAGAAAGCAGGGTTTGTGGCTGCTTTCTAGCTTAAACTAGTTTCAGTCTCTACCCACTTTCAGCCTCTTCTATTTCTCTGTCAAACAGACAAGCACAAGCAGGGATCACTGTATGCAAATACGTTTTTCCAAGCTGTGTACTAACTAGGCTCCAGGAAAGCCAACATGGTTATTGTTAGCATAAAAGCTTGGAACAGGAGAGACCCTTGGCCACAGAAGCCAAAACAAGGGTCCGGCTTAGATCAGCACCATTCCCCATTGGGTGCTATTGGGGTTCAGGACATGATATGCCATACCTACCGTGGCTGCTGCACTTCCGCTGCTCAACTGGAAAGAGCCAGAAAGCTGTTTCTGGGGTGTATCTATGTTTTTCCACCTTGAAAGGAGTCAGCCTCTGGTCTGAGGTCATATCCTACAAGTCTGTGCCCAGACTCAGCATCTCACTGTGTTACTCCCACCTTGGTAGCAGATGATGTACCCCTGCATGTGGACCTCTTCACTCCCAACAGAATAAGCTCTTCCCAAGGGCTTTCTGACATCAGAGAAGATGAAACATCTGCAAGGACATAGAAAGTGTTTTGATATAAACCCCCATAAAAGAAATAACCCTCAGGGCTGTTGCAGAATGCAAGTTCACACTGCATTCCCCGGGTACCAGCCTGAGACAGGCATCTGGGGGAGAACCAAAGGGTTCAGCTTTCAATGCAGCTTTCATGTGTAATGCAGCCGGCTGCTGGTGCCCTTCCCTGGCTGCACAGTGGCTGGATAGGGTGCTTCTCTCATGCAGCTTGGTGCACTGGCCATCAGGGAGAATCAGGGAGGCAGTGGCTGCTTGCCCAGGCATGGCTTGGGCACAGGGCTCAGGTCCTGGGTTTCTGTATGACACCCTTTGCTGAGAGCATGCTCTTGGAGCATGAGCACTGGAGTTGGGGTTTCACAGCAGGCACTTCCCTGCATAGGCAAAATGGTTTAGTACACTTCCCAGCATTTTAAAGCTGTTTACACCTTATGTATACACTGAATCTGATGGGAGATAAGTTCCTGTGGCTTTTCTGAGTAGGGACATGAGTAAGATGGGCAGCTGGCTAGCCCACATTTACCACTAATTGCGTTGTGTTTATGTGGATGTTTGCTCAGGAAGGTCTTAGCCTGGGCTGAGATCCTTCACTGAGCATCTCCCCAGTCCTTAGACTGTGTGGAGGTAGGTACCTGCAAGGAGCTGGACAAAAGCCTCCCCGTTGGTGGCTCCAAGTCACTAACACATAGGCTTGCTTTCTGCCTCTCCACACACCCACTTCCCTCCTGGAGAAGTCTCCTGCTCATGGTCCTCAGCTCCATCTCAGATTCCCCTTATGCTCAACCACTTGCAGGAAGGAGCATAACTTAAACATTCACCTGCCTGGATGGTACAGAAATCCCCGCCCCCCCCCTCACCTCCTGACACGGTTCATCCCTCCCTTCTTGCTGTGCAGATGCTTCAGTCCATAAGGGTGCCTGAAGAGACCACCCATGGTGGAGGGAAACCTTCCCCCAACTTTGGAAACTTACAAAATCTGCAGATAACCAAAAGCAATCTTAGCTGAAGCCCAGGAGCCTCCACAGGGTAAACCTCACCCACTTCCCTTGCCATGCCTGCAGGGAAGCAGGAGAGGAGACCACAGGGGGAGTGAGGGAGAGCATCCAAATTCCAGAGGGATGTGCTGAGCTGTGCTGGCTTTTTCAGGCTCATGACTCCTACCTTCCAGCGGTGCTTCTTTCTGTGAAAAAGCCGGCATCAGCATCTTCATCCAAGTCATTGTTTCCTATGCTGCAGAAGAACAAGCAGTTACAGGGTAAGCTGTGACCGGGAGTCACAGTCACTCCTCTCCATTTGTCACTCTAAAGAGATGGGCATCCTCAAAAGAGGAGCAGCATTAAAAAAGAAGCCTTTTGTCCTAGCATGCTCTTCTGCCCCAGACACGTCCCAGGCCAGTTCAGGGACTTCTGTAGCACACCCAGCATCAGTAGCTGTTGCTGCATGTCTCTGTGATACTAATTCTGACCAAGAGTTGCCACCTCCTCAGTTGTCTAACATGACTGTAGTTGAACCACAGGGAAGCCACAGTGCTGGGCAGCCAGTCACATGAAAGTCCCACCGCACTAGGCACATGCATGAATGCCTTCACCCTGTGCAATGGCTTCTCGCTTCAGCACAGTGAAACCAACTAATGAAAAATGATTGAAATTAAGACAACCCCCAAAAGCCACGTTGTCCATCCTTGCTGCCCAAACCAGCAGTCTTGACAGAGGTTTGTCTAACCTGGTCTGAAAAACATCTATTGATGGAGATATCCCGGATCTGAATGTTTTCCAGGGGGTGCTTATCCTGCAATTGGAAAGTTTCTCTCAATGTATTTTCAAAGATATTATTGTTGTTTTTTCCCTATCCCCACTGGGAGACCAATTTACTGCCTTACTTTGTGGTAGTCTTTTATATACTTACAGGCTTAACTAGTATCCCTAGTCTTCCTTCCCCTGGATCAACCAAAGCCAGTTCACTCCATCTGCCCTCATAGGTCATATTTCCTAGTTCTGTGGTCCTTCTTGCTGCACATCTCTGGTTCCTCTCCAGTCAGGCTTTATCGTTTGATGTCTGTCCTGAAGCCTACCCCACCCTTAGCAGAGGGAAAGGGCTGCATGGTACACACGCATGCACTTCTGTCCATATTCTCCATTTAATTTGGTCTTCTCACAGGAGGCTGCACTAACCAAGGCATTCATTTCACTTTTCATTCACATTTCATCTGCACTACTCACTGCACTGACCAAAGCTTTTCCAGTAAAACCAGTGCTCAGCCAGCCCCCTCCTTGGAGAGGGAGGTTGGGCAGAACAAAGCACAAAGCCACTCTCCCCCCTTGTCCTTCCAGGCGTGTTCCTGCTCCTGGCCCATTCAGGATCCTGGATCTCACGCAGGCAGGATGAGTCTTGTTTTCCTAATTCCCGTGGGTGCACTCTGCAGGAAAAAGTGAAGAAAAACAAGAGTTAAGCCACGGTGTTTCATCCCTTGGCCAGCTCCAGAGAGCCTCCTGGGGCTGAGCAAGTCTACCAGAGCCCATGATTCATTATGCCTGTGTTGTATTTAGCGCTTCCCAGTGTTGCGACATTGCTGCTCAATAAAAATATGACACATTAAACTGGTAGAGAAATGGCAGACCCCAGGCAGCAACAGCAATGAGAAGGGAGGATGTATAATCTCTGCTGGCATCATACAGTGTATACACACACAGCAATAATTCGGCAGGTTCAATTGTCTCAGATCGCAGTTGCAGATGATGTTACAAATGCAAGTCCACACAAAACCCAAGATGAAAAAGGCAGATCCATTTTTTTATTGCTGGAAAATTCTGTGTCACTGAGTTACCACACATGAGATAGAACAATATCTCACTCAGAGCCAGGATTCTGCCTGCAAATGGGTTGGTACGAATCCCAGCAGCCTATGGGCCACGTTCTCTTCTCCCAATTTCTAGATGCACAAGGACAGTTTATGATGGTACAGCAGCCTGTGAGCTTTCATCTTCCTCCCGTTTGTAAGACAAGGAAGAGCAGGCTGCACCAGTGCTGGGCTGTAGCTCATTGGAAATGCACCTCTGCTTAGCTCCAAGCTGTGGGGAACTGTCCAGGTTCACTTCTGTGCATCACAGGAGTCAAAGCCAGGGGGAAGGTATCAGTTTAAATACACAGAGTGTATTAAAGGCAGCTTTCACCCTTCACTCTGTTCAGACAACAAGTTTTACTAGGGTCTGGCAGGGTGCTGGATTTAGTGCCAGACCCAGCCGCTAATGAATTATATGAGCAAAGCCCAGTGTGGCAGGTCACAGGAGCTGAGCTTCTCTCGTGTGGCTTTGGTCAGGGTGACTGACCACATCAGCTCTTATTGCCATGCCCTGAGCACAGCACATCCCCATTTATATTGGTTTAACCACTGGGCTGTGGTTATTATTTTCCAGCAATCCTGTAGGCACAGCAGTGGGGTGGAGCGGAGTATGCACAGACACAGGTCACCCAGCCCTGCTCATTTCCCACCTCCTCCCAGATGGCACAGGAGGAGGTTGCTCTAAAGCCAGATCATGATGCACAGCAACATGCAGATGAGAAAAATCATACCACTCCCTTTGGTGCTACGTTCCAGCCAAGCTAAAAATAGAGACTGTCTGACTGCAGGTAGCATTTCCTTTGTTTTCTTCACACAGGAGAGAAGGTTCAAGTCTGAACAACTAATGCCTAGAATGATTCCTGCAATCAGCATCAACACAGTCATGTATGCTGCTAATGACTTGGGCTCCTTGAAAGTATACAATGGGGAAAATGGCATTGGGCATTGTTTGGGTAGGAAAGCAATTTGTATACGTTAAAGCTTAGCAGAAACAGATTGTCTGAATAACTTTTTTTCCCCCACCCCTTCTTACTTTCTTGATTGTGGTTACAAAAAAAAAAAACAAACATGTAAGTTAGCCTTTTAGGAACTCATTTTGTGCAGAAAAGTATCATGCAGGTTACACAACTATAGCAGGACAACTTGAGGTCTCTGCTATTGCTACAGAACACTACAGAACCTGCTGTCTCACAAAACCCAATTTGTAGACTGGTTCAGTTCAAAATGCAACAGAAATAGAATAAACTGCTTCAGTTGGAAAGGACCTACAGTGATCATTTACTCCAACTGCATGACCCCTCCAGGGCTGACCAAAACTTAAAGCATGTTATTAAGGGCATTGTCCAAATACATCTTAAACACTAACAGGCTTGGAGCATCAACCACCTCTCTAGGAAGCCTCTTCCAGTGTTTGACCACCCTCTTAGTAATGAAATGCTTCTTAATGAAATATCCTAATAGAAACATCTTTAAATTACCTCTTAAACATCTAAAGCAAGAAACAGAGGATATGAATGACTTTTTTTTCTCCCCACCTCTTCTTATTTTCTTGGATTGCAGCCAGCAGTCTGAGAGGTCAAGGATGTGCAAGAGGAGTTTCCCTGGACAAGAGCGGCATTCCCAGCCTTACAGGCAAAAGGCATCACCTTGCAGAGCTCTGTTTTATTTCTCATGGATGCTCACATTTTCAGGCTAGCAGGAAGAGTGCAGTTGCCTGCAAGTGCTACATCATCAGTATTCATTCCTTCAGGTATTCATCCCTTCCATTTGAGGATATCCTGCCTGCAGAAGAGCTGCTCTTCACCCTGCAGAAAAGGGAGCGCAACTGTCACACCTGAGACACAGCCATCAGCTTTCCCCAGTCAGACTTTGGTTGAACCTTGCCCCAAAACTTTGCTTTCATCACGTTAATCAAGTTATGTTTATAGTCACTCATGCTGCTCCCTGTTCCAGCAGGCCACTGTTGGGCAACCGCTGCAGTAAGAGCTGACTGCAACCTGCCTGTGCTCACCACTGCCCGCTTCCCTGCCCCAGCCAGAAGAGCAGCCCTTAGTTGCTTCTGTGCAAAATCAGCCCAAATCTGCCTGATGTGCATTGGAGTAAGCAAAGAGCTTTCACAGGCTCTGGTCTACCTCTGTGTAGGTTTTCTTACTGTTTGGGGTTTCTCTGGAGGGGGAGAACAGTCTTCCCCACAAAGGTGAACTGCACAGCCCTGCAGTAGTAACACGGTAAACCCTTTGCCTCTCCTCTCTGTACTGTGAACTATCTCAGGTCAAAGATAAACCCACATGAGGGCACCGTGACCATGTCAGAATTTCTGCAGGGTCATTTTTTTCTTTTCCAGAGGAACATTCCAAGCCAGAAGCTTCTTTTACAGTTTTTAACTGTGTTCTCTTGTCCCTTGTGAAATGCAAACAAACCACATGGCTCAAAAACCGAATGAGCGTGGTCTGGGGCTGGCTGAGTCACCCTGTTTGATTGTCAGTCTATAGTAATTAGACTGTGTGCACTAAACCATTTAATTACAAGGCACTCCAGAGTCAGACCCCTGAAAAAAGGATCAGACACTTCAGCCAATCCTGTCAGCACCTGCCATTAGTTGTAGCATCCCATTTCAATGAAAACCAGGAACTCCAACATGGAAACCACTCAATTTGAAGTGTTTTTCTAGATAGAACTAGTAAGAATATTTTTCCAAGGTTTGTTAGGAAAAAAACAGAGGCAAAACACCCAGCAAAAAACTCAGTTAACTGAAAAATAGATTCAACAAAACACTTTGAAGTAGTTCTCATCAGCACATACAACTCCTCAGAGACACAGACAAATGCAAGGAAGTTCTATGAGCCTTCTCCTATGGAGAAGATGGCCCGGCCCAGCCGAGAATTAGAATCACAGAATGGTTATGGTAGGAAAGGACCTTAAGGTTATCCAGTTCCAACCCTTTGCCATGGGCAGGGGCATCTCACACTAGACCAGGCCACTAAAGGCCCTGTCCAACCTGGTCTTTAGTGGTGGATCCAGTGTAGCTACTTCATGCTCTATCATCTGCTGTATGTATGTGCAGAGTTGAAGAACTGGTAGCTTATATGAGCTGTACTCAACCCAGTAAGCCTAAGAAACCTTTGAAGATACATTAAAACTGAGCACACGCTGAGCAGAGAAAGGTGGCCTCAGCAGAAACCACCTTTAAAGGTTCATCTGGACCGTAGAATGGTTTTGTACTCACCATGCAATAACAGTGTATGCAGGGAATGCTTCAGGTTGGACCAGTGGTTTTGGCTCTGCTATGACAAGGCTGAAATTAAAGGATGTATTAGACAAGCTTTAAGAAAAGAAATCGTTGCTTATGTTACTTTTCAGTGAACTCATGACAAACCAGCTGACTAAAATTTCCAAATGTATGCCATTCCTGCCTGCTTCTACCAACTCTGTGTTACCCTATGACTTCTGCTTTCTTTGAAAACAGAACAGTGCTTTGAATTTAGGAAAGTGTAAAATTTCTTTCTGAAGTAATCAGCTGCATGATGTTGTGCTGGAAAGGGTATGGCTCTTCCACTGTTCCTAGCAGGGAGGAAGAAGGATGATTTAGCCACATATCATTCGCATTAGAAACTCAAGTTTACTCCATCCTGATTCTGGAGCGTGCTATTCAGGGGATTTTTAAGATCAACAAATACAATTCTTTCATGTTCAGTCTCGATGCTGGTTTCCTGAAGAAGTGTAAGAAGAGGTTGTTGTAAGGGTGCTGGAAGTGCTGATTACAGAATGTCCTGCACCCATGCTATGCATAACACACCAGCTGAGAAAGTACAGTAAGGAAGGCAACATATCCAACGGGACTCAGCTATCTGGCATGCTGACTTTTCAATCTATGTCCAAAATAGCACTAAAAAGAGCTTGCACAGTACCTGCTTCAGCAGTGCCTCTGACAGGTTCTCTGCCTGTATGGTGCCAATTAAGGTGCAAGACTAATAAAGACAGTGGATTTAGACAAGGCAGTAGCATCCCCAAGGCTGCTCTTAGCCCATTTCAACCTCAGGACAGCCCTGTTTCCACCTCAGTATGAGCAGAATCACTGACATAACGTTTCCATCAGTGACATAGGCCAGGGCCAGATCCCTCTCTAATGTGAAGCAGTGTCTCTCCAGGCTGAGCAGACACAGGCATGAGCACCATCATGGCCAGTTCAGGAGCTCAGCATCCTCCAATCTCAGCCTTTCCTCCCATTTCCCACAGTCGTGCAGCTGATGCACATGTACACACACTTCAGGCCAAGTCCTCTCCTTCTGCTTGTGAGGCGGGATGGCAGCAGAGGCAGCACACCCTTCCCAAGGGACTTGTGTGAAAACAGCACCAAGGCAAGGGAAGAGATCGCACTGATCCTATGTCAGCCATCATTACCCATGCTTGTGATCCCTTTCAGGTTTGCATCCCAAGTTGGAGGCTGCCATTGGAAGGAAGATCTCTTGCTGGAAGATGGCTTGGGAGTTCAAAAGGAGGAGGGAGGACAACAGTGCTGTGGATCCAAGTGCTGCAGGAGATGTGAGACAATGGAGCACTCCCAGCACTGAGCAGACATATCCAATCCTCCCAGTACATCTGTATGAGCACAGGACCCCCAGGAAAGAGAGTTCCCCTCAAAAGGTAGTGCCATGACTACCTTTCTCATTAAAAGAGAGAGAGAGACAGAATATCTGTCCTTGCAGCCTGCCCAGCTCAGAGCGTGGGGAACAGCCCTCTCTTGTCCTGCATCCTCCATCACCTTTATTTGCTTAGAAATCCCCCAGGGCAGAGGAGAAGAAAACATATGTGCTTCTGAACAGTTAACAAGACAAAAGCTCAGACCAGGCCTCACTACACCGATCTGTAAGGGTATCCTTAAGGGTGTCCTTCCACCTGCAAAGCCTGTAGACCCACCACAGGAGTAGTACATAACACCCATCCCTTGATGCCAGCACACTCAGGTGTGCTGGCCCCGGTCCAGGCTCTGCCACTTGACACAGCAGCTGATGCAGATGAGACTTTGTTCATGGTAACTGTCCTCTCCACCTCTTCTGCAGCTTTGTCCTTCCATCTGTTGTTGTACAGACACCAACTGCAACCCACAAACACCACAGGTCTAAATGGGAGTTATCCCTGGTACCCCTCAGCCCTCATCTCCTGCATCTTCTCTTTGCCAAAAGACAACTTCAAACTAGGATATGAGCCTAGAGTTGTTCACATAAGGGTATGAGAAGGGGAAACTGAACTGAGAAAAGATCTCAAGGAAATGAGATTCACAAAGGAAGACAATCCCTGCATTGCCTATGATAACACAGGAAGCAAAAGACTCACCATTAGATAAGAATAGCAGATAACTGTTCATCTTCTCAATAGCCAACTGAGCTCTAAAAAAAAGATGTAGCCTTTTACCACTTCCTGTTTTCACAGTGGCAAGGGTGCAACCCCTCTGTCCTCCAGCTGGAGAGGTTCAGCCCCTGGTTTACTGCAGGCGGTGGTGAAGCCAAACGTCACCGAGGGCAAGATGCCTTCAGCACGCAGCAGAGGGATGAACACCCTCCCCATGCCTGTCTGAAGGAGGGAGCTGGCCTCAACAGCACCCTCCTTGAAAGAACAGTCAAGTTTTCTCAAGTCTCCTATGGATGTGTTGGCAAAAGGCCACGTGCAGTTGGCCTTATTCCCTCATACATGCATATTTACTCACAGGAGCCCAGTGAAAGAGCTGGAGTTAGCAGAGATCCATATGTACAGATTTATAGAAGGGGCTGTTGTTTGCAGCCCCATCTGGAAGAGGGTTGGATTGCCAACACCAGAAGGCTCCAGCTGAAAGGTGGTTTGGGTTTCAAGCAGCTGCTGTTATTTCAGTGGCAGCAACCTGAAACATTCAAATCTTTCTCTATATTATGTTAACAACTCCTGCTAATCCCATTGCAAAGTCCTTCTTGGTGACCATGACATGGTATGAAAGGTACCAAAGGGTCTAAACACAGAACATGGAAAGAGGTGGGAAAAGCAGAGGTGGCAATTGCAGAATGTGGGAGAAAGCAGCTATAAAACCTAATCTGCCTCAGCCTCCCCAAAATACTTGTGGCAGCTGGAAAAGATTCAAGCAAAAAACTTCAGCATTTCAAGGAGGCAGATGGAGCCTGAAAGGGGAGATGAGTAAAAGCCATGGTTTTCATTTAATACGTCTAAATCAGAGACAGTAGGTCTGTTCAGAAGCTAAGCAGGGAACAGCAAGCAGGTGCTCATAGCGTGCCACATGCACTTTAAAGGTATTGCACTCACAGCTTAAATTAAACTTTGAAAAATGCTGGGTTTCAGAGAAACAGAAGGGACAGGAAACCTGTGAAGAAGCTTTTATACGCAGCACAGAGACAGCCCAATTTAACATACTCTTCTTCTTCTGGAGGACATGGGAAGCCTTCATTCGGGTTGTAATGGGCTCTGAAATTTAAAAGGGAGGAAGAAACAGCCAGAGTATGGCTCCTTGAATATAGATAACCACAGCTGGAATGGGTCACAGAGCATGGGAATGAGTGGGGCTGCAAGGCTGAGTAGGGCAGCAGGGTGATATCGCAACAGACCAGCATGGAAACCACAGGAACATGCCAAGAGGACAGAAATAGCGGCCCTGAGGAAATGCTTCTTGTAAAATCCTCACCAAGCAAAAAGGCAGGGAATGGTCAGAAGGACGCACAGATGGTGGGAGTAAGGACAGGCCAGGGCAGAGCCTACCTGTGGGCAGAGCTGCTGTGGCTGCAGGGAGCAAGGCTGATTTGCAGAAGCATGAGACTAAGTAAAGAGTTTTGCTGTATATAAAAAAAAATATTATATACATATTATAAATATAAATATATAAATATATATAAAAATATATATAAGACATAAATCACATGTACATAGTGCACAGGGAAGAAGAGCCTGGTAGTCCTTGGTACAGAGAGGGATGGATGAGTGGAGGTCTTTCACCAACAGCAAAGGAGATTTCCTTAATGAGATTTGCTCAGGGGACGGTTGCCTCCTTTGAGTGGGTCAGTGCCCTGAGCAATGCACAGCATGATTATGGCAAGGGAAGGGGAGAGAAGATTGTCAGACCTTAACCAGCCTGCTTGATGCAACCCGTCCCTGAGAAATGTCTCTCTGGTGCCTAGACATAACCTGAGGGAATGGTTAAAGACATCAGCTCAAAGAGAAGTGAGACAACAAGTAGGTTCCTTTTCTATGAAAATAAAAGGATGGCTTCTTTTGCCTACGTTCAGAGCTAACCATCCCTGGAGACACCCAAGGCCAGGCTGGACGTGGTTCTGTGCAACCTTATCTAGTGGAAGATGTCCCTGCTCATTGCAGGGGAGTGGACTAGAGGAGCTTTGAAGGTCCCTTCCAACCCAAACTCTTCTATGATTCTATGATCTTAACTTTCTTAGAAAACAGAGTAACTGTGCAGTGACTGCAAGTGAATTCCCACCTATTTCAAGGAGTTAGGAACAGGCCTCCACTTTCAAAAACAGATTCTCTGGGAACAGAAAGATTTGCCATGAAGTGCAACATCCCCAGTCTCCCTGCTGCAGCCGCTAACTCTCTGACACCCCTGTGTAAAGAGGAGGGGACATTTCAGGGGACACTCCCGGGGAAAGCACGTTCCCAGTTGAGAAGCAAGAGAGGCTGCGGGCGAGCCGATGGGGCAGACAGCCTCACCAGAGGATGGAGCTGAGCAATACTGAAACCAAAACACACCAAAGGCTTTCTCACTCTGCAGCTGGCTCACCGGCTGACTGGGACAGTCGCTGCAAAGGGAGAAAACAGGAAGTTTTCTGTACCCATAAGGCAGCTTTGGGATGCACTGATGGAGGAGTTGCAGCTGAGATGGATTCCTACCCAGGCACCTTTACCACCTCTTGTCACCAGCATTTCCTTACCCACTTCCTATTAAAATCTCATCATACAGAAACCCTGCCATTAGCCAGAAGGGCTAATTTGTGCTGCCCTCCACTAGCAGTGGAAAATATTATCCTGATGTTGCCAGGTTCATGTTCTGCTCAGAACTGACCATGAATAACAAACTGAATATGCATAAGGTGGGGAGGAAATCAAGCACTGGCTGGACAGTGAGGAAGCTGCAAGAAGATCAATGAACAAATTCAGAGAAGCTGGATAAAATAATGGAGACAGTGAAAGAAGAAAATTTCTTTTGGGTGATGCAATGTGGTCACTGCTCCTCTTTGATAAGCATGTATGAAACCTTCCTTAAGCTGACAGGAAGGGAAGCAGGAGAGAGCCAAGGCCTATGGACCCATGCAGCCAGGGAGATCCATGTGTGAGCAGTCTGCTGAGAGAAGAGAGCCACTGTGGTTAATTGTATTTATTCCACTTCAAAAAGCAAGTAATGTCAGTCTTGGAGAAATGCTTAGCCAGAATAATGCCCCCTCTTTCCATTCCACAGTGTCAGAAACCGTCTGCATTTGGAGTCATTACAATGCAGCCAGAGCATGCTGCCCTGAAAGGAAAGGCTGTTACAATACTTTGTAAACTGAAAAATCCTATCAAGGTAGCAGATGCTTCGCGAGGATGGTGACAGGGTCTGTGCGGGAAACATCCTAACAACTGTAATTGAGTCATAAAGACAGGCAGTGCATGAGCAGCAAGCAGAGGAACACATGCAGAGATGATCTTAAGGTCCTTTCCAACCCTAACTATTCTATGATTCTATGCCACTTTCCTTCCTTACAGAAGCAAACATTAGAAAACAACCAAGATACGAAGTCAATTACTTTCAAAGGTATCAGAAAAGGCTCCATGGGGAAGACAAATGAAGCCCAGAAACAGAAGTGAGGGAGTGAGAGATGACAAAGCCACTGAGCACGACACATGCTGGTGTCTGCAGGCTTGTCATAAACCCAAAGGGCAAAGCTGAAAGCAGTTATTTGCTGTTCAGCCAGATAAATATATTTGCAGACAGCAGCCAAGAGACCACAAGCAAACAAGCTGTGGGGCTCAGGGATGGATTCCACCCTGCGCCAATGCACGTGACAGCAGAAACCCAGTGGGGTTTCAGCACCATCTGCCTGTGTTGGTGCTGCTTGGGCAAGTGAAGCCTTAGTTCTTGTCAGTGCAGGTCAGAGCCATGCAGGGCAGGTCCCCTCTGAAGCCACTGATGAGAAGATTGCTCAAGGGTTTCTCTGCTGTGAGGTCTGGTGGATGGGGAAAGAGCTCACGATCAGCAGGCACTGAAGCTCTGTCTTGCCTTGGAAAGTGAGGCAATGCCACAAGCACTCATTCCTGCCTCACATCAGCAGTCTTGATCAGGCACAGGAATGGCTTTTGCCATGATAGGAATTGGATTACATGCTTTAGCTACAAGGGCATCTAGTGACAGACAAGAGGGACTGGTTTTAACTGGACAGAGGAGAGATTGAGATTAGACATTAGGAAGAAGCTCTCTGTGAGGATGCTGAGGGTGCCCAGAGAAGCTGTGGCTGCCCCATCCCTGGCAGTGTTCAAGGCCAGGTTGGACGGGGCTTGGAGCAAGCTGCTCTAGTGGAAGGTGTCCCTGTCTGTGGCAGGGGTTGGAGCTGGATGAGCGTTAAGGTCCCTTCCAACACAAAACAGTCTGGGATTCTGTCAACCACCTGTAAGGTCAATATGGGCCTATTGCAGTCCTAGATGGAGTATTTCCCATGATGAAAGGAAACCCATATCACCTCATTTTGATTCTCTGAATTTCCTTAACTGCTCCTCTTTGGCAGTGGGAAAAAACCAATCCCTTTGTTGCTCCTCCTCTCCTGCCAAAGAGACTCTCTCTGATGTCCCCATCTTCATCAGTGTGTTTCACAGGCAGAGCCTCAAGGATGCTAGCACTTGAAAAGCAAAAACCTGAAGTCCTGGGGGGGATTTTCAGTGAGGTGGATACATGGAGCTGCCTGGAAAAAGATTAAAAAAAGAAAATAAATGGAACCATCTTAGATCCTTTTGTTTTCTCTCTTTGCTATTCAGAGAACCTCTGTGTCATCCGAGACAGACACAGCGGGGAGCTGCTACTTGCTTTGCCAAAGCAATGAGAAGGAATAGCCTCTGTTAAAGACACCACCCGCATTGGGATTATAAATACAAAAAGAGATGAATTTATCCAGTTGAACCTAATCCACAGAAAACACTGCAGCGAGGAGCAGGAGTCAGGGGAGTGCTTGGCTATGGGCGACAGGCCAGGGGGGACATATGGATCACATTAAAAACCTATAAAGCAGCACCAGAAAATGCATTTCAATACAGAAGTGCCTCCAGCCCCACCTGCCTCTCTATCACTGTGGCATTTGCTGGAGACTAATGATCCCAAGGAGGCAGGATCCCAGCCCAGCATGCCAGGGCACCCCATCCTGCCAGGGCATGGCAGGAGCAGGAGGCTGTGTGTGATAGCAGGAGGGTTCAGGACATCTCTTTGCTTGTGGGTTTGGTGCCTGGGTGCCCAATCCTGCAAGATTTCCATGTGGGCACGGGTACTGGGCTGCCTCAAGCCCAGATGAGCAGCAGCACTGAAGCCTTCATGGCTGCTGTGCACCTGAAGAGTAGGGTCCCTGGCATCCAGATGCAACTGAGCACCAGCTCAGAGCACCAACACAAACCACTTGCATGCTACCAGATCCGCTTCTCCGGCTCGCACGTAAACCTCCTGGCAGACACGAGGCGAGGTGCTACAGCCCAAGTGTGAATGGAGGCTGCTGGGTGAGCCGGCTGCCAGGCGGAGAGGTGCTTCCCAAAGAGAGAAGTATATCACAGAATGGTGTGATAGCTGAGAAGGAACCAGCATTGTTTTCCATATGGAAGAGAGTCTGCAGTGGAGGCAAAATCGTTTGGTTCCAGGAACAACAAAAACCACAATTTACTGCTAAAACCAGTCACATTTGGCTGTCCAAATCAGAACAAGCACTTGTAAAAATGAATAATTGAAGACATCATAAGCCATTTATCAACCCTACATCAACCATAAATGCCTTCTGCTAAGCACAGAGAAATGCCCTATCAGAAGCGTCATGGATGTATTGTTCCATATGACTTCCCAAAGAGCACTTCATGATGATTTATATAATGAAATGCCCAAAGTAAAAACATATAGTAATCATAGTTATATCAGATTTAGTTTCTTGGTAAAAGCTGCATCACTCAGATGCAGTTCCACAATGATATTTCTTTTTATAGACAATGTAGGATTCGTAACGCCTTAAATTAGTCACATCCTTGCTTTGAAGTGATTAGATTTTGTAAAAAATGGGAGAAATAAGCAAACTGTTATCCCTTAGCGCCTCACTGGTGTTTGGAAGCAAACATTACTGAATGTGAGCACAGACACTCCACAGGCAGGGACTGGTTGCCTGCCCTGAGAGTACAGTGATTCAGTCTCACAGGCTGTTAAATGACAGTCCAGGAGGGTCCTGCACTGGGAAAACAGCTCCAAAATCAGAGGGCCAGTGCTGAACGTACCTACCTCACCACCCTGCCATCATGTCCATCATGCTGCAAAAGGCAGGCAGTCAGCTAATGCATGGCAGAGATTACAGGCACCGATCGCTCTAGATCAATACCTTAATGAATAGAAAAGCCATTATAGACAAAAATTATTCTTGGGCACTTGCATAATGCAAAGAAGTACATGATGGGAGGGCATTATCTCACTCGTGGGCTCTTGACTTTCACCCCATGGGTGAACTCAGATGTGGGTAGAGTTGGGCTGTCATGAGCCAGTGCTCTCAAACACAGCAGACAAGGGATGTGGTTTACAGAGCTACAAGGAGCCCTTTGCGCACCCTGCTTGCTCAGGGTTGTGTTTGGAGAAGCCAGGTATGCCAGTACCCGCATGCCTGTGTGTAGTGAGAGCAATAATCCTGTTTGCAATGGGGGATAAAAGGATGGAAGGGACTGGGGGGGAAATCCCTGTGTCAGGGGGCCCAGCAACCCATGACCCCTCACTGCGTGCACCATGCCCCAGCATGGAGCCACTTACCTGACACAGCCTCTGCCAAAGGGCTCAGGGTTACGGGGCTCCACATGCCTCCTGTCCATTCCCATCAAACCCAGAGCAAAACCACCCTTCTGGTTTGTGCAGCTCCTCCAGACACCCCAATACCGTTGTCCCAAATTGAGAGCAGTGGGTGCAGGGCCTGAAAGAAGAGACATTTCCAGTGATGGGGAACTATGCCATTTTTTTTTCTCAGAAATGAAAAGTGATGAAAAATAGGGGAATGTGGGGGGCATACATCCTTTAAAAAGACAAGTGCTGCCATGGCTTGTCTAAGACACCTGGGTGAAACCACCACCACCACCCTTCTGCTGCTCTTTAGAGCCATCCAAAGAATTGTGGCTGCCCCATCCCTGGCAGTGTTCAAGGCCAGGCTGGATGGGGCTTGGAGCAACCTGCTCTAGTGGAAGGTGTCCCTGCCCGTGGCAGGGGTTGGAACTGGATGGGTTTTAAGGTCCAGTCCAACCCAAACCCGTCTGAGATTCTATGATTCAGGGGGATGACTGCAAACCAGCCCCTCATCCCCCCAGCTCATTGGTGCTCAGCCAGGTTTCCCGAGGGCAGTTAGCACCGTCTATTGTCCAGACCTCAGAGTGGAGGGGCCTGGCTGACGGGGAACATGCAAATTCATGTCTGCGAAAGAAACTGCTCTTCTCTGTGCCTGAATTATTCTGAAATGCTCCCCTAATAAATAATTTATCTACTTCGTGAAGATGCATGTTCAATGAACACAAGCGGACTTCAGGGTGCTGGGTGTTTATTAGCTGCAAGCTCTCCTTCCTGCACTGAGGCTTCATTTTAATGGGCAAGTAGAAACCTCATTAAACACCTCATCACTAGCTCAGCCCATGGAGCAAAGCTGGAGGGGAGAGCTGGGCAGAGGTACTCTCTCAGGTGCCTCATTGGAAAGAGGCGATCACAGCTTGGGAGTGAAATCTGGGCAAGATTGGAAGGGGATGCTGCAGGCTCCACATACCAGATCACTGAGGTTGTTCTGCTCCCTGCCTGACCTCTTCAAAAGCACAGAATGAGCCCCAAAACAAGACCTTTAGCCTGTACTAAAAGCAACCCATACCTAGCTCAGCTGTGAGCTGGTGTGAGAGCAAAGGGAAGCTGGATGGAGTGTCCATAGCCCCCTATACAGATGGGTCCTTGGCTGTGTTTCCCTGGCCAAAGCAGCACCCTGAACTTGCAGCGCAGAAATGAGCACCCTGGGAACAGCTATGACATTAATAAAAGGAGCTTTGAGTAGTATTTACAGGGCCCTGTTTCCTGAACAAATGCATCTCAATGTCCTTTTCGGCATGAGAAACCCTGCTGTGCCAAGATCCCTTTCTGGAAGCCTGAGGCTGCAGAAGATTGTGATCATTAAGAAACACACACTGTTGCTCAAGCCTGGCAAGGAGCTGTTCTGCCCAAGCTGCCCATTGCAGGGAAGAAAAGAACCCATTTGTCTGTGTGAAACAGGCCAAGAAATCAGTAACCCTGCTGCTGAGAAGCAGGATGGATTCATCAAGCAAAGGCAGTGTGTCAGATGGGTCCTCTCATCCTTGCTGCTGGCTTCTGGTGGCCCCCGAATGCTGCCTCAACATCCCCGTTGTCCCTCGTACTGATGGGGCTCCTATGTCCTCCACCATTCATCCCGTGCTACCATCACATCTCCTACCAGAGAAAGGACTGACCAGGCTGATGCCCTCCATGCTGTCTGCAGGGAGAGCTCCTCTTGTCCGTTAACAATTAGCCACTAGAGGGAAGTACAATGCTGTACGGGGAACGGTTTGGATGAACAACAACGCATGGGACTGCAGAGAATCACAGTTTGTGGCTAGGGTCCTTCCGATGCTGATGCTGACAAACCTATCATGACTCTGTGATAAGGTCCTTGCTAAAGGCCATTTTGCTGCTTTTCCTTCGGAGTTGGCTCCCCATCACTCACCACTATCTTGTCCTCCCATGCAGGTGCCCATGGGGAAGTAGCACGACAGGCATGGGCTCTGTCTGGATGTAGGAGTGGACTCGGCTGTGCTGCCCTGGGGAGTGAGCTGACTTCACTGGGGCTGCTGGCAATGCCCAGGGATAGAGCCAGCAGCACCCCTGGCACGGTGACCGCGGTTCCTCCACTGCATACAGCCCTGGGCAGCTCCAGAGCAGGACATAACAGCCTGTCAGCCAGCCCACTAAATGGCATGCATAGTTTTTGCTGTTTTTAGCAAAGCAGGGAATGCGTGTTGTTTCTGGGACGTGCAGTATCCACTGCCAGTGGAAAGACAAGGGAAGGGCCAGGAATCCCAGAGGGACAGTGAGCCAGGGCAGGGAGGGGACAGCTCCCGGTGGAGGGGACACAGCAGCCTTGGGAAAGGATGGGACAACCAGGGGACAAAGGTTCCCATGGGCTGGGCTCCACAGTGATGCTGACCCTGCTGAGGGAGGACATCGGTAGGCAGCTGGGTGCTCCTTCCCTGGCCCCCATGGCATGGATCCAGAGCAGCCACCGACCTCCTGAGGCAGCCATCCCAACCTCCCCATGGCCAAAGAAGCTTTTGACCGCTCAAATCTCACCAGCGGGGATTGTGACTCTGCTGGTGGAGCACAGCTGATAACAAGCCTCCTGCTCTGTTTTGTTCCTGTTTATAGATGGCTAAATATAACTTTCTGCTTATTTTGAATTCTTAGTGAAAGCTCTGATCCACAATCCATCACGTCGGGCTTGTGTTTTTCATATTTGCAGGCTTGCATCAGGCTCAGCACAAGGTTTAGTAGCTGAGTTAGTTAGGTACAGCCAGCATATCCCACACCACTGATATGGTCACTGCAGTGCAAAGCGGAGAAGGTGCTGCAGGACCTATGGACAGCAGCTTTCTCTATGCTAAAAAGAGCCCCCACAGCCCCAATCAGAGCTGCTGCCTTCAAGCACTGCTGGTCCAGACCACATTTGGTGGCAGGCTCTGCTTGTCACCAGGCAGAGCAAAGTTTTCCTCTCACACACCAGAAGTAACTCACTTGTTATTGTAGGATTATGTACAATATCCTTCTCTGCAAGAGGGAACAGGAGCCAGGACCAACACACAAACTAAGTGTGTAAGACAACGTAATCACAGGCAAGTACCTCAGGTGGTGTATCAGCTGGTTGTACTCCTAGAGATAAACTCCCACCCCTCTTCTGAGAGGCAGGGATAACATCTGGCCAGGTGTTTGATGGACTACTGAAAGATTGATAACTGTGGTATTTTCCTAACAACTGAATTGAAAGGCCATGAGGCAACTGTAGCACTACCTATTAAACACATCAAGTCCAGCTCTATATCCTGTCTGCCTCATGAATACCGCAATCATATATTTTGGGGTTCAAGCCAAGAGCTGGCAGGGATACCAGCTTTGTCTTGCTGATACAGGGAACAGGCAGATGAAAACCTCTTGTCTCCACTGTAAAGAGTTCCTATCTCAGTTCCAAGATCCTGCTCCTCCATTCATCTCTCAGGAGACAAGGCTTCAATAGAAACATTGGCATCACATGCACATAGGCACACACATGGCTTCAGCAAGCCACATTTATAAGAAAATAGCAGGTACAACTCGATTTCCGTCATATTTTAAGTCTCAACATTGTATGGAAAAGCCATCATCCAAAGCAAATAATAAAATGTTGGACCGCTTGACCAAACTAAGGCAGGTAGCAAGCAGGCGTCCTGGGGCTCCTCCCTTCTGCACCCTACTCCTTGGGACTTCAAGGTGTCCATATAGACATCCTTTTAGTCCTTTCAGATAGCTAGCTGTTTACAATAACTCAGTAATGAGGATACAGTCCTGTTTCCCCTCTCCCAAGGACACCAGCTTCCCAACACTGGCTCCCCATACCCTGCTGCAACAAATGCACCAGACTATATTTTCTTAGTCCTTCTTGTGAGCCCAGGTTTGCCAAGGTCCTGCTTAGCTAACCTTGAAAAAGACTTTGTCCTGATCTAAAGCCAAAATGTGGTGGGTTGGAAGCCATCTGTAGGGCTGAAATGACTCCAATGATTTACTATAGTGCTGGCATGCACTTGGCTGGCTTAAGACAAAACCCTCTCCCCCAGCTCTGCCCTTTCTCTCAGGCAGCTTTGCCCTTCTTTGATGCAGCAGCAGCCTCCAGGCAGGAACAGCTCTTGCCATTAAAGGGAGAAGCTGAGGCTTCACACAGAGTAATTCATCTACTAATACACTGATAAAAACCCCTATGAGTGTGTGAATACAAGGCTGAAGAGACGCTTTCTCTATCACCTGCTAACAACATTTCCCAGTTCACACAAAGCAGCATCTTGTGCTGTAGAAGCCCAGTCTGGGATGAGCAGGTCTTCACGTGAGCTTCTCCAGCAAACCATTGCTCCTTCAGGTCCCATCAAATTCCCAAACCCATCTTTTCCCCATTAAGGCTACCTTTGCAAGCTATCCCACTGTGACCGGATTATATAAATGGTCCAAAACTTAAGTGATGTCCAAGAAAAATTAATGGGAAAACCCAACTTTTATGTCAGCATGCGCAATAGCAAATGGAAAATGCACTGTCTGAGCTGACAGCTCCCTGTGCCCTTAGGGATAGCGTTGTAGTAGCCAGGCTTCATTTCCAAAGAGACTGCAACAAGCCAACTAGGACTCAAAGCAGCTGGTAAGCATGACTTTTCTTTTAACCCCTTCTCACTAAATTCAGATTTTCTCTTCTTTTGGGATTGAATCAGACAAACACTCCTCTGTTGCAATGTTTCCTTTCTTAGAGTTATTCTCAGAATAGCTAAAGAGTACTTTAAACCAAGAATAGCCCTTCTCCCTTACATTTGTACTCCTGGTTTTGGAAACACTATTTAGAGATCAAAACTCCTAAATCAAAAGCAGACAGGAACAACGGTGAAAAACCATATGGCAATGTGAGCACCGTGCTGGCACCTTAAGATTCCACTCTTTCCTCAAAGACTCCTGGGAAGACTGGGTTTACCCCAAATCTCCCCAAGTCCTATCAGTTCCTTGCCAGAAACCTGCACTACCCAGATTTAAGGTGCAAGCCCCCTGGAATGTCAGCAAAAACTGTGCTACAAGGGATTACAAAGGCAAAAGAAAGATCAGCATAAGCCAGACTCCTGATTGAAGAATATAGTGGAGCTGGAAAACAGGTGGATTTTCTGTTCTGTGTTTTGTGCAGAGAGGTATGAGTTTGTGTTTTTTTTTAATATATAATTACAATTATGAATAATTATTAATATGTTTAATAGCATAATTATTAATATAGTGTTATGTGAAATTTAAAT